AACGACGGCTTGCCCGCCTCGGGAAATCGTGGTCTTAGCCTACCACATTCGGTGGTTCCCTTATTAGGGAATTCTTAGCCCCTTCTTCGCTTATTACTTTTACATCGCTTATAAAGTAGCTGTCCTGCTAACTTCGCCTATAAGTATTATTAAGTCTCTTTAAGTTATTCTTATAATCTTTCTCTTCTTCTTTAATACTAGCTTACTTATTAACCTTTACGTTACCCGCGACACTACGATTAAAATGAGAGGAGAAATATTATAACCGTATAACGCAGTTAAAGCGCCGGATTCTCTGATACTTTAATGGTTTTCGCATCTCCTTTCACAAGTAGGGGATGTTTAGGGTGTAGCTTAGGAATTCTGCTAGCCGCTAGAACTTTATAGAAGTAATCGGTTTAATGTTTACTAGCTAACTAACCTTGCGAACCTCTTTTAAAATTCTTTAAAAGGGAAAAAAATATATAAAGACTCTTATTAGTATAAAAGTCTTAATATAACTAGAAACACGTTATATCCCTTTAAAATTACTTAAGATAATAAGAACTTTTATAAATAATTATTATAAGCCCTTTAATTATAGAAAGAAAGAATAACGTATTACAGCTAGTAGCTTATATTTACACTTATTACCTTACTAGGACTTTTACTAGAAGTTTAAGAAGGGTAATTATTACGATACTAATCTAAGAAAAGTATTAACATTAAAAAATTAACTGTAAAGTTAAATAGGAAATTAAGTTAATAGCGGTCTTAATTATTATACTATAAATAGAGGGTAGCTTTATTTTAAGAATTAGTTAAAGGTAAGAATTAATAAAAGGCAGTTATAATATAAATATAAATGTTAACGCCTTAGCGTTTTATCTTCGTTTACCTAGCTAAAAGAAGGGTTAAATTACTATGAACCTAGTTAACTAATAGGCTCTTTAAATATGTATATAACACGTTAATTTATTACTTTATAGACTTAATAACTAGTTTACTTTATTTACTCGATTAAGTAGTAGATAGCTAAACGCTCTTACTATTACTTTACACTATATAGGGATTTTTCTTTATTAATTTAAAGAGAACGTGTTAAAGCTATTAGGTTTAAGGTATATAATTTATATTAAGTAGCTTTATAGCTTACTTTTAAGTTTATTTATAATAGTATTATAAACTAAATAATAATATCCGATAATAATATTTACTATACCTAAGGTATACTATAAGGTTAAACTATATTACTATTATAGTAGGTAAATACGATATATAGATAGAACTTACTTTGTTACGAATTATTAGCTAATAGGTTACGCGGTATTAATTTACTTTATTTTCCTTACTATTTACATTTAGTAAGATAAATAAGGCTTACTAGTTTTTTTACTCTTTATAATAGAAGGTGTAATAATAATAGTGTTACCCCTAAACAGCTAAGTCTAACCGTTTTATTATATTAGCGTCTTCTTTAATTAAGAGATTAACTAATAATATTAATTAACTAGTTATAATATATATTATAATATAATTTCTATATTTATTTTAGTAGTATACGTGTTATAATTAGCTTTACGGGACTTTATAGCTTAAAAGCGCTTATATTACCTGCCTTAATTTATTATTATAGCGCGTTATAAAGGGGGTTAAATAACTGAAAAAAATTACAGGAAAAAGCTAACTATATAGGGAATAATTAGTATAAGTTAGGTTAAAATAATTCGCTTTCTCTTTTAGGAAAAGCACGATATAAAAATGTAATTTTAGCTAAAGCCTAATATTACCTCTCGTTTATATTAGAAGCACCTTCTCTCTCTTTAATATTTTAACCTTAAATCTTATTTAATTAGAAATTTCATTAAGATTTTTCCTTTATTATATTATATATAAACCGCTAAAGTTTAAGTTTTATAATTTAAGCCTTTAATAATTACTAAAATTAAAGAAGGCCTTTATACCTTAAATATATTTAAGGGGGTTAATATCTTAGAAGAATTCTAAGTAAAATAAGGTAGTAATTAAAAGGTTAAAGAATTATAGTATAACACGTAATAATATTATTAAAGTAATTATTTAAATTAAAGATATAATTAATATATTATAAAAGTAAATAATATAATATTTATAAATTCTATACTTATTAACTTATCTAATAACTCGTATATAGTATTATAACTTAAGAATACTTACTTTACTTATAATAAGGCTAATAAAGTGGTTTATAAGTATCCCTATACTTTAAGTAGTTTTACGTTATAATTAGCGTAAACTATATATTAATAATTAGCTAAAGTATAGTTATATTTTAAAGTTAAAGAGTATATTATTATAAACTTATTAAGGCTATTATTAAATAATAATAATCACGTTATATATCCGCTATTTCTACTATCTCTAGGTAAAACTCGTGTTAAAGCTAAGATTAAAACCTATTTACTAGAGAATCTTTATAATAAGAATATAAGCTATTATTATTAGCTATAAGCGATTTAATAGCCTAATAATACGAATATTAAATAATAGCTAGCTTATAACTATTATAGCGTTAAAATAACTAATAAACGGTAAATAAAATAGCTAAAGTTAGCTTTTATTAATAAAGGTAATAATTCTTTCTATAAAGATAATAGTAATTAGAACGATAATAGCTTTAAAAAACGTGCTATTATATACTATTTAAAGAGAGGCTTAAATGCTATTATAGCTTAAAATATAGCTTTACTTAGCGCTCTTATAAATATTTACTTAAACGCTTATACTTTAACGCTAATATACCTCTTAGAATAATATAGCTCTTACTACTATAAGAAAGCTATAACGCGTTAACCTTATAATATAAAGGTAAGTTATTTACTATTAGCTATATTATAGTAGACGAATTATTTACCTAAAATATAGTATATAAGACACGCTAGCTAATATAAATTATACTTAACTTTACGCGTAGCCCTCTTAAAAGCACTATTATTATTATAATACTTTATAGGTAAAAATATACTAAGTACGAGATATAAGCTTAAGTATAACGTTTTTAACTTAAATTATAGTCTTAAAAATTAATTTAAGGCTAATATAATTAATTATAAAGATACGTTAAATATAAATACCCTTAATAGTAAAGATAATAAAAGGTTAATTATTTAAGTTAAAGTTATAAATTTGCCTAGTTAATACCGTTTATTATTCTAGCTAAAAGAATATTATTTATAAGTATAAAAAAGGGAAAATAAGTTAAAGACTTAGATTACTTTTAAGCTTAATAATTTAAAAACGAGAAGTAAGTAGATTAAGTAATGTATACGATAAAGTAATTAAAGGAAACGTAATAATAGAAAAGAATAATATTATAGCACATGTAATAAGGTCAGCTATAATACACGTACTTGCTAGGAGACTGTGGAAATATCTAGTGAAGATAGTAAGCCCTATAGCGATAAACGTAGAGATTAAAGATAAATACGTAATAGTTGGGAAGGACTTACCCGTAAACTAGGAGCGACTTCCCCATGTCCACAACGCACATGACTAAGGGAGATTATTCCGACTGCTTAGATATTTAGGAGTTTATTTGTTGCGTAAATTTTGTTGTTTGATTGGTGCTCGAAATTTGTGGAGATGCAGGTGCCCTCCTATGCAGCAGCATCCGGGGGACTGGTATAAGTGTTGTTAAAAAAGAATCACCCTTTTGGCAGGATATGTATAGTAATAGAATTGCGAGTACCAGCCTATCTATGCACACACATGACCAAAGAGTACATCCATCTTGGTTGGGGCGCTTGGTGGTTCGGCCATTCGTTCTATTTCAGCGCGGGTTGTAGTCAGCTCACGTGACTCATCGCGTCCCTACATCTTTTCTTTATGCCTCCATCCCTTCCATTTCATAGCACCATTCCAGGAAGCATTTGCTTCTATCCATCCTCAACATGCCTCTTACGGAGCAACAAATCAATGTCATTTCGGAGTATCCGCTCAATGATACGTTAGATCGTTTCCGTGACAAGCTACGCGACCTTGACGAGGCAGACCGATCATGGCACGACGCGACCGCGAGCATTATATTGGCCCTGGTTGATACTGGCGCCGCATTAAACCTTGGCTCTAGAGGTGGAAAAGAGACTTTAGCTGATGATCTTTTCCCCTTATATCCGAGTGTCCGAAAAGGATCCTTTAAAAGCGAGCACTTCCGCCATCTTGTTCGTTGCATTATCGACAAAGCTTCTGACATCGACATCTGGGAAGTAGTCTTTAGTATTATCGAATCCCTTAGTGCCCTCACCCCCCCTCGGTCTAGCATTACCCTAACATTCAAAGGAACACCTGTTAAGACTAGCTTAAGCCGACTTACTGATAGCGAAACGCGTGATATTATTAAAGGGGAGCTCTTTAAAGAAATTAAAAACTGCACCTTTCGTAATGTAAAGGGAGTCTGCGATAAGTTTTTTAATCCTAAGTTCTAGAATAAAGAACTAAAAGCGATGCTAAGCGTAATAATAATAGTATATAATAAAAAGACATGAATAGAATTTCCCTTTACTCCCAACGAAAGACTAGTCTAGAACTAGCTTTACTCACTTAAAGAGCGCTTTTTAGCCGGTATATTATATAAGCTTTATACTACTAGAACTACTAACTAGTTTAAGGAACGAAAAGGCTAGATAAATGTTTTCTTATAAACATTAAGTATAAACGTAAACGACACGTTTAAGTATAAAAATATCCTAGTAGTTAAAGAGTAAAAGAAGTTAGATAATATAGGTAGGTTTAAGGCGACTCTCCTCTAGCTCACGCGCTATATATAAGGCGTCTTTACTAACTAATTAACACGCTAGTTTATCCACGCGTTCTTACTCTACGCTTCCACGATAGAGCTTTAGGTCTTTAACCGCTTTAAGCTATATAGCTTAAGGCTATTTAACATTTATAAAGAGCTAAATAAGTTTACGCGTGCTCTTATAAGATATACTATAATAAATAATAATATAATAGGCCTTAACACGTTTATTAAGCGAGGGGATACGTGTTATTATATTATACTAGACGATATAAGTGGTAATAAGATAAGGGTTAGGTTAAATAAAGCGATAGTTAGGTAGCAGGCTATTATATATCGTGGAACTATATATTATAAGGCCTAAAATAGCTAGGTTATAAAGTTCTTATAGGTATTAGATAAGCGAAAGCTAAAGGTAGAATAATTAAAGTTAGCTAAATAATAGGGCGTTAAAGAAGTAATTAGAGTAGTAGCGTATTACTAGATTACTATTATTATAAAGCTATAAGATAGACTAGAATTTCTAAAGCATTATAGGTTCTAAAATAAGGCTAATTTTTTTAATAATTTACCGTTAGTTACCGTAAGCACGCGCACGTTAAATTATAAGCGTAAATTATTCAATAATAACGCGTCTAATAATACGTTAGTATTTAAGAAGCTACGGCTTAATAGTTAAAAGTTAAAGCTTTCCACGAAATTTAACGATTAGTTATTAATTAGTAAGGCTAAGCCAAGCCTATACGTGCCTAGCGAGGACCTATAGGAGAATAGAATTTATTTCTGCCTTATCGTCTTACTAGCTAGCCGTGTTATTAGCGACTTTAAGACGATTAAGGAACTACTAGAGTTAATACAAGATGTAATTAAGGTATATTAATCTCTTTATACCGCTAGTAATATCCTATATCGTGATATTTCCTTAAATAACATTATTATTATAAACTTTAAGATAATAGATAGCTTTAAGGGTATGCTTATTAATCTTAACCTAGCGAAAGTCAGAGATAATAGGCCAAGTGGGGCGCGACACCAGACTAGCATAATACAGTTTATAGCAATTGAAGTGCTACGAAGAGTCGATCACACCTACCGTCATGACCTTAAGTCATTCTTCTACGTTCTGCTCTGGATGTGTGCACGCTGTTCATGGACTATGAAGTTTGGCGGCGGCGGGGAAACACCGCCTCGGCGGAGCCTTCTTCGCAAATGGGAGATTGGAAGCTTTAGCGATATTGCGGATGCCAAAGAAGGTCATATGACTGTGAACGGACTTAAAAGGATTATGAATGAGTTCCTAGAATGCTTCCACATTGTTAAACCTCTTTGTCTAAGGATTAGAAAGATTCTGTTTCCATTAGATAAGGACGAAGAGATGAAGTTTGGAACTCCTGCAGGTGATCCAGGTCAACTCTACAACGCCATCATATCAGCCTATGATGAAGCTATTGATAAGCTGTTCAAGGATTATTAGACCCCTGAGAATACACCCATCGTCGGATCCGACATATATCTAATTAGTCCAGGATAACTAAGGATTACATATGTAATAACCGATCTTCCCAATAATTCACAATCTAACCGCCATCTACAAACAGCTCTCCATCAGTTCCTACGTGGCAAAGATCGTCTCCAGGTGGCTGATGTAAATTGGCATTTTGGCATTTGTTGTCACCTTCAGCACGTATATCGCTAGCAAATATACAACCCAAGCACGAGGCAGATACCAGCCTCTACAGATCCAACCAAAATGTCTCTTACCAGAGAACCCGGTCTACAATAGGTGCTGGCTAAATGTAGATTGAGGTTAAATAGAAAGTGAGAAACGGGCTGGTCCATAGTGGGAAACAGAATGTCGACCAGTCGTTGGGCATGGCTGCGAATAGTCGCCAACTAGCCACTTACTGTAGTTGGCCACAAAATTTACCTCAGGCACTGTTACACTTTAAAGGGCACCAATTATAACGATAATATATATATATAAGTTTATGTCTAGCTATAAAAGAGAGAATTATATACGCTCTTTTTATAAGTACGCTTATTATTAGGGTTATTTACTTGTAATTAAGGGTTTACTCTTATTTAATTATACGTATATAATTTATACCTATAATAAGTAACTTATTTTAATATACCTCTTAATTAAGCCTATTATTAAGGCTATTATAAGCTCTCTTTTTCTTATTTAAATACTTAATTAAGCGTTAAGGCTATAATTATAGGCTTAATTACGTATACCTTACCTTTCTTAACGTTTTAATTAACGTAATATTTTATTAGTTAAGAGCTAGCTTATTAACCTTTTATTTATTAAGGTAAGTTAAATATAAGCTATACGTTCTTATTAGCTATACTTATTTTACTTTTATACGCGTAGCTTATTAGTATTATTAGCTTCTTTTTTCTTTATTATATATTACTTCTTTAGCTATAATTATATTTTAACTGTTATTATACTAGTTTAAAGGCGCGCGTTACCTTAAAGTTATTAAAGTATATAGAACGTGTTAAATACCCTTTAGTAATAACTATTAAGCTCTTATCGCTTACTTTTAAAGGCTTTTAGTGTAAAGCCTTTTTCTCTTAATAAAATAGCTAAAGCTACTCTTAGGTTACTTAATTACTTTAATAATTAATAGTAAGAGGTTAATAAAGCTTAATATATTAAACGTTAGTTAACTATTAAAGGAGCTAAGAAATTATTAATATTATATTTTATAAGCTATTAATATATTAATTAAATTTATTAACGCGCTTTTAAGCTATTACCCTTAAGCTTAATATACTTTATAATATCCCTTATAAGGGTTATATTTAAGTAGCT